AAGAGCAAATTCAATGCCTTTCTTGATAATCAACACTCATATTAGATCATCATACAATTTAAATAAAGTTTTCATGCAGCTGTCAGTTGTACCTCCTCAGGGTCTAATTTACCGTATAGTACAGAGTACCCAGGTATTAAGAGAATAATATGTAAGTGCCTCTACGGTGGACAATACTGATTCCTGTCTTTTTCTTCGCACACATCGCCAGCCTGGCTGGGATCTGTTAGAACTGCATCATGGCTCTGTGCCACAACTGAACCACCGGCTATACTCATTGCAGACCTAAAAGCTTCGCTTAGGATTGCCTCTAGTTGACGTTTCTTATCTTTCGAATCGCTGCGGCGGGCCAGTCTCTGAATTATTGCTGCTGATGCCCGTTGTTCTTGATTAAGCCACTCGATCATCCCCAAATGACCAATCAGGATGATGGATGCTCGATAAGCCTCGAATGCAGTCTCCTGTTCACGTCCATGTAGACAAGCATTGATAAGAGACGGAGCGGAATGGCTGTGAGTCCTGCTGCGACCAAGTAATAACTCTAGGAGTTCCTGCCGCCCACACAGGTCAAGGCCGTCAGGTTGCGAAACACTGTTGAGGTGACATTGGTAGGTTTCGAGGCAGTGGAGGATGTCCATCGACCCTTGGTAACTGCCGGTCCAGTAACCAGTTTGAAGACCAATTTGAAAGTATCTCTTGGAGGCTGTGGGCTTGCAGATTTCCGCTGAGAGTCTCAATCCAAGCCCACATAAAGGGCCGCCCAAGTGATCTCCCCTAGCTGTCAATCGTTGACTAAGATTACCGAGGAACACCAGAACATCATGCTTATTCTGTAGAGTGTCTTGCTTCAAGAGGTTCTCACAGGTATTGCGAAGATCTGAAGATAAATCTTCTGTCGATTTTTCTTGGCCCGGGCTTTTGAGTTGGTGAAATGAGATGGCGCTGGTTTCAACTGACAAATATTGTGATACTAGCCTACGGAGGTTAGTGAGTGAGTCTTGCTTCCTCAGCGCTGCTGATAGCTGAGCTGAATGAGACGGAGAGATGGCTCGGTATTGCCCAGACCATGACGGTTGCGCCCGCGATTGAAACCAGCGCAAGAGTGATGAATCGTCTTCCAAGGCCTGTTTTGGAATGCCGTTGTTTGAGCTGACGAGGTGGAGTTTGTTGGGCTCTCTCTCCGCAGTCGCATTATTGGGAGGCCCTTGTTGTTTCTTTGAGGAGTCGATCAGTGGAGCTGGTGTTGGGGCTTGGAGAGCCGCTGAGAAAAGGTCATGGCTTCCGAGTCGCCAAGAACTAGATGGTTCCGAGTGTATTTCAGAAGCCTTTATCCGTGACCAGGTGAGAGAAGTTTCCATTCTGTGAAGCTTCCATCGAACATCATCTCGCTTACTATCTCGAGACCATTTCCTGAGTGCCCGCTCTTCGTCCTCTTCTGAAGATGGCCGGACGTGTTTGCTGAGCATATCGTCTAGATCAAGAAGGAGGTCGTTGATCCGAAAGTATTCGTGTTCTTCGGGTAGCTTGGGAGTTTCGGGCCACCTGTTAACAATATAGTATGTCTCTCCCCACCTCGTTTCCTTTTTTAAAAACATCTTGCTTTTTGTCTTCCCAACATCAAGCGCGGTCGAAGCTGCTCGACGTTGCATTTTGGCAAGGTGACAGAGTCTAACAAAGATGCGACTAAGATGGGTACTAATGTACCTTGGCTCGTTATCGACGGCGGAATGATTGTGAGCCGCTGCGCGTGACTTGAGTTGAATATTGATGCAAGAGAGAGAGATGGCGATTTATTTCTTCAGCAAGAAGGGTGATGTTTTCAATGTCCTGGCGACGTAATCCTACGTCCCCCGCAAAGTGAGAAGGACCCCTGCTGTTTAAGGCCCGGGCTTTATTTTGGTGCCAGGTTGACTAGACTTACTGGTAGTACTAACGTTAGTTAGATACCTACCTAAGGTAGGTAGATAGGGGAGCTTGTGGAGGAAGGACACTCGGGACCTCGGTCCTGAATGATAAAAAGGCTTGTAACTTGGCATAAGTTTCTTTTTTACTTTATAAAGTTAGTAGCTTTTTATAAAGGTTTCCAGGCTTGACTATTACTATAGTACTAAAGAAAGGCAAGAAATTTAAGTAATTAGGTAGTTTAGATCTCTCTTAACAAGATCTTGATCTTGCTGACTAAAGAGGAATAAATGGTCATAAGTAATGAAAAGACTTAGGAAGCCTAACACAAGTTTAGGGATCCTTTATTAAGTTTATTCTCTTCTATAAAGTCATTATGTTTTCTTGCTCACTGAAGGGCACCTAGGTACCAGTAGCTAAACAAAGCGATGTGAGGCACGTGACCCATTAGCCTTACGTATGAAGATACGAAGAGCGAAATCAAGTGATCTGTACTCCGTACTGGGTTTCAACTTTAATGTTACAAACAACAGGGCCTCTACGGATATACTCTTTGATACAACAGTGGTCAAAATCAGACAAGACTTATCAACCAACCCCCTTTGCCGTTAGCCTTGTACAATGCTATCGAGCTTTTGACTTTATAACAAAGACTTAATTAAACAGTGATACCCCGATAGTAAGCCGGTATATCGGAAGTCAAAATCAGAGAAGGTTTATCTGCCTTGACTAATACCGCCCTCAGCACACAGCTGTGTCGACCTTCTTTCTTCAACCAACCTGCAAGGCTAGGTACTCTTCTGCCGACCCTGGCTTCAGTTGTACCCACACTGTCTCGAAGCAAAGCATACCATGGCTCCCTCTCCTACTGAAAAGAAGGAGGAGGCGCAACAGATTGATAATATGTCCAAAGCCCAAGATCGCATGGCTCGGTTCAAGGCCCTTCAGGCGCGAGCAAAGACTTCGTCGGAGAAAAACTTGAGAGAGGCGACACTCGAATCACAAAGGCTAGCCACAGATCCCAGCCAACTTACCGCCCTACATCGGAAACATGCGATCGCATCTCACAAACTACTCAAGGCAGACGTGGAGGAAGCGGGCGGGGATTTTGAGCGAAAGCGCGCATGGGACTGGACTGTCGATGAGAGCGAGAAGTGGGATAAACGCCTCAAGAAGAAGACGACTCGTCGCGACAACAACGCTTTTGCCGATCATACACAAGAAGCGAACAAGATATATAAGCGACAACTCAAGAACATCGATATGAATATGGAGCAATACGAGAAAGACAAGAAGGCTCTCATTGAGAAAGCAGCGGCATCGGGCGGACTAGACATTGTTGAGACCGAGGATGGCGAGCTCATCGCGGTGGACAAGGATGGCTCCTTCTACTCTACCGCCGACTCCACGACGTTTGCTGAAAATAAGCCAGACAAGGCAGCAGTCGACCGCTTGGTGGCAGACCTGCAGAGAGCAGAAGAACAAAGGCTGAAGAAGCGAAAGGAGAGAATGGCACAGAACGGGGACGATGGCGATGTGACGTACATCAACGAAAAGAATAAGCAGTTCAACCAGAAGCTCTCGCGGTTCTACAACAAGTATACCGCAGAGATCAGGGATAGCTTTGAACGAGGAACAATGATTTGAAACAAACAGGATGTTGAGTTAAGTTTTGGTCCAGTCGATTATCATACGGTTGAGCGCCTTTGCTTTTAATACAGTACTGCACAATATCCTACAGCATGGTTTTCCTCCACGCTTTGCTCGCCAACTCCTCAATTTCAGGCACGTCGATGGCACCCCTGATGTTCTCATCACCCAGGGCCTCAACCACTGCCTCCGCCACAGTCTCGACCTTTAGAGGCTTGACTCCCGCCGCACCGATGAAAGTCTTAAAGTAGTTGCCTGTAAAACCGTTGAAGGCTGTGCCAAGGCCAACCATTGCAGCCAGAGGCATTGTTACCGGGCGTGAGCTATCAAACATGAAAGAAGGGCGGATGAAAAGTCCTCTGAGTTCTGGGAACTTGTTGGCAATGGTGATCTCGGCCTCTCGCTTGGTCGATATGTATCGTTGAGGGAGAACAGGAGCACCTGCTGCAGCAGAGATGTAGCAGAAGGCGTTCACTTTAGCAGCAACCGCGTGCTTAGCCAATGTGACTGCACTGTCGCGGTTCATAATCTCATATGTGAATTGATCCTTGGGGTTTGGAGGCTTGATGTCCTCCCCTTGTCCTCTAGCCAAAGGGTCCACACCTCGATCACGAACGGGAGCAAAAGCTTTCTGAAGACCAGCAATGGGGGATTCCTTGCCTGAGATGGCGCCCTTGTAATCAGCCTCTAGGAGGATGCCCATGCTGTGCACTACGAAGTCAGCGCCATTGAGTAATGGAGCATACGTAGCCGGACGAAGAATATCACCACGCTCCCAGCTCACTTTATGTGCCCAAGACGGAGGTGTAGCCGAGGCACTGATAGTGTCCCATCGAGGGTCACCAGAACGGCTGTACAACAAGATGAGTTTGTCTCTTAACATTATGATAGATGTGGGTTATACCTGATGGATGTTACATCCCATCCTCGAGCAACAGCATATTTGCAGATACGAGAGCCCAAGAAACCGGTTCCACCGCAAACAACAAGCTTCTTTGAGGCCGACATCGTGATGATGCTCGTGTAAAAATCGTGTGATGTCAAAGCTCTTCAGAGCTATAGTGGAATGTGATGGTTAGATCGAGGAATGAAGAAAGGAAAGCTGCGAATTCAGTGATAGGAAAAACAGAGGAGGAGGTTTTTGTGGTGCATAATCGAATTTCCAGTTCAATTACTGGCAGCCTGCTGTGCAGCTATCGATGGTAAGGTGGAATCAATGAAATCATCATCGAGATCGCAAGGCTGGAGACCCGATGTGGCTGCACTACGATTATTGGCCACGCCACTGCGGCGCAAGTTGATCAAGTCTTACGAGGCTGACACCTCGCCACTCTTTGCGACACTTCACCTACGTCCCTTGGGTATTTTCTGGTAATGTTCTCACCATCAAAATACTCTCGCGGTAACGAAACCCTCGGTAGAAATAGCTAAAACCGTACGAAAATAACATGGCGCCCCAAAATCAACTTGGGAAGCGTGTTAAGCTTACGCAAGTCCGTCGGCCTTTTATCGTTGGGAGCACAGCGAAGCCTTTCTCCGACACGAACCCGCGACCAGCAGGTGTCCCTGACACCCATACGCATTCATGGCAGGTTTTCGTCAAAGGTCTCGACGATACCGACATTACCTACTGGCTGCGTCGGGTTCAATTCAAACTTCATGAGTCTATCCCTAATTATGTACGAAGTAGGAAATGGCCTTCCTTGTTTGCACATGCTGATGCTAACGCAAAACAGTGGTTGAGGGCGAACCCGGAAAACCTTTTTTAGTCGAAGAGACAGGCTGGGGTGAGTTTGACATAACGATCAAACTCTACTATGTCAACGACTCGGGGGAAAAACCCCAGACACTATACCATTATCTGCGTCTACATCCCTACGGCCGGAACGAAGAAGAGAAGCAAGCTATGATCGCCTCGAATGGCGAGATCCGCGCATGGAGCTACGAAGAACAGCTCTTCAACGAACCCTACGAAGTCTTCTATAACCTCCTCACCCAAGGCGCCGTACCTAAGGGATGGAAGCCGAGCGGTGGCAAGGGCAAAGGGAAGACGCGCGCACCACCGCCTATCCCAACTGACAGCAACGAGGTTTGGGAGCATTCGGCGATGATACCAGCGCACAACCGACCGGGGCAGCCTTTCAGTCTAGAAACTGAAGCAGCCGAGATACGCAAGCTAGCAGATGCGCAGACTCAAGCTGAGGATATGGCCAAAAGGATACTTGCTGAGCTCAAAGCCAAAGAAGAACTACTTGCGAAATTAAAGGGCGAGAATCAGGCAGCTGCAGCTGCAGCCAAGTCATAGCATGATGGCCGAGTCACGCACAACAAATCAAGACGGAAGAGAATCAAGTCTCGCAAGCAGAGCGAAAGCGAACAGTACAGCTAAGACGAGGCTTCAAGTACAGCGAACCACCCCAGACAATTGGGTACGAAGGAACTATGTGTAGCTTCGGGGCGAGGCTGGCCACCATGCAAGCATGTCCATGAGATTCTACATCATATGCGAAGCAGTCAGCTCTTCATGGTCCTCAACTGAACTGCAGTAAGCTCGCCGTAGAGCGCGGCGGGACGATGGGGCTCAGATAAGACAACCCTTGACTCGCCACGAAGCGTATTGATACCAGTTTGATTGTAAGCACATCTTCTATGACACATTCTAGTTCAATCAAATCATTAATCAAATGATCAAGAAGCCATAATCTGTTTCTGGATGTGAATTGGAGTTGTTTTGCGAGTACTACACGGTTATATAAAACCAAAAGTAGCCTCGTTCCTTAGTCCTGATATCATGATATCTTCTAGATACCCCAACGATCTCTCTGACCGTCTAAACACCGCCTATCTCGCCTATGATTTTGTGAATAACATTGTTAAGACTCTGACATTGCCATGAGTCAACCCCCCTGGGGCTATTGACCAGTCCAAACAGACAACTGGGTCGTGGCATAGAAATAGAGAACGAATAGCAGTACCACCCCTCTGAAACTAGCTTGGCCAGAACTCATGACCAGGCACGCCCTATTTTACCCTTCGGCCCGCCTCTTCCAACGCCACAAAAAAAAATAAAGAGTTGCTTCCTCCAGGCCGTTTCCTCAACCTGAGGTTTCCAAACTCCAGCGCCTGCCTAAAATGAATGAACAAATAAAATGCTAACGACAGTATCAAGTTGTATGTGCCAATGTGTGTGGCTCCTCCGCTACTGAGTAGCAGCTTCGTATGCTGGTGGTGGTGCGTCCTCACGCTCATCCCAAGGGCTACGTTGTCTGTTCTTCTCGTCATAAACTCGCTTGGCAATTTCCCCAGCCATCTTCATAACCCAAGCTTGTTCAAGGATGACAGAAGAGGTCTCTGAGCTAATGCTTTGGTTTTCCAATCCAGGAGATTTGCGCTTCTCAGACTTCAGTTCAGAAGTGATAGAAGCAATCAATGGATAGTTCTGAGATTCTGGGGGCTGAACGGCGTTCTTGAGCGGGGAGCCCATCCTTCGTGCTTCCTCAAGAGTGGCCATGATTGAGGGACGTCCTGCCTCACCCGTGCTTCTAAAGCGAACTTTATTCGGTGTGCATGCCTCAGCAATGATAGACGACTCAGTCTCCTCAGGAATTGATTCGTCGATCATGGGCTCAGATAGAGGGACATCTACAGATGCCGTATCTGACGCTTCGCTGCCAGTCTCTGGGGTGGTAACTTCTGATTTGGTACGTCTCAGATTTACCACGCGTGTCTTCTTCTTGCGCCCTGTCCGTGATCGACCTGCCCCAAGTGATCTCCCGTTCGTTGCCGAATTCATACTAATGAGTGAAGGGCGAGATGGGAGGTGGCCGTGTGCGTTGCTCGCTGTATCTGAAAAGGTGTATGTTGTCGAGTTTCCTGCGTGGAATGACATGGTCTTAGTGAGAGTGGGTGTCGAAAGCAAGGGCGTAGACGTTTCCGATCGTTCTCCATAACCTGTCCAAGCACGGAAGACGACATCTCGAATGCCAGGAGTAAAGAGTGATAAGGTGCGATGCGAATCGGTCAAGGCTGCAAGACGCAACAAATTCTTCTGGGAAAACAATGATTGGACTTCTCCACTTCCATTCAACGTGAGCTCAGAAATAGCATTGGGGTCGAGAAGATTGCCATTGGCATCCACGGGATCCAAGGGAGGGCTAGCCAAAGGGTCGACACCAGCTTCGTCTTCTTTCTCAGCTGGTGTTTCGGTGCCCTTGTTGGCCTGATCAGGACACCACAATTGAAGGGACAGTCGGTGAATAATTGCCGGTAATTCATCCATCATCAAGTTGCGTAGTTGTTGCTCAATTGTTCTCTGCAAGTAATCGCGAACGAACTGTATCGAGTCGAAGGTAGAGGATACCTTGAGGGATTCGAGTGGGTCATTTCGGAAGACGAGGGTAAGCCCTTTTTGTTTTGAGAATACCAGTATGATGAAAGCAGAAAGCTTGAAATCAGACAATGTGATCGAGAGTGGAATGGTTAGGCCAGAAGCGGCGGCCAACGGTTGAGGAGATGTGAAAGTCGGTTTAGAGTAGAGATATGTATTCAGAGGATTTGCCTAAGGTTGCGATGTTAGTGTCAATGGGATTGCAATGATGATGAAATCATCGGTAGGGCGCTTAGACCAAGAGATTTTGTAGGGAGATGGAGGGGTTTAATGCGCATTGTCGCAATCAAAGAAGGTTACATCGACAATGCAGTAAAGCCAGTGCAGGTTGAGGCTTGGAAAGGGATAATGGGATGTTGTTGATGTCGTGATAGCTGCGAGGTCAAAGGATGGCGATCCATGTCAAACTCGACAATGGGCATATTATGGGAAACCCGTGCAATGGGCGGAATATAGCTTCGGCAATTGTACCCAAAGCACAGGAAAGAATTGAGCCGCAGAGAATGACTAGATTCCTCCACGACGGAAGTAAAATGATCACTTACTTGAACTCTCGTCTTGAGGGTCAGGAACGCATCACCAGAATATGTCATTTTGAAGATGCCCCGGAACCTATCCTCCGCAAGATCACCAATTTCCAATATTTCAAGATCAGGGGGTACGGTCCCAAGATTGAATTCGCTGACAAGAATATCATCTACAATGATGGGCGGCTTCGGACTCTTGTTTAGGGCCTTGGTTAAAAGGTCGCGCGCACGACGGTAGAAGTCGGCATCCGCAGTTAGCGGCGACCAGTTGAAGTTGAAGGCCATGTTGAAATGGCAATCACCTTCCCGTGATCATGGAGGAAGCACTGAAGTGCCGGCAAATCGGCAGCTGTGACGAAAGCTCGAGGACGGCGGGAAGAAGGGATTGAGGCGCGTGCGTGATGGGGATTGGGAGGCGAAAACAATGAGCGAGTGTGGGATAGCTTCGGGTCTCGTCGGTCGGCGTAATCAGTTGCCAGAAATGCTCAAAGAAGGAGTGCACTTCAAGGAAACTGTCGATAGCACCCAGGGCGGCAGCAGCGACGTGAGGCTTAGAAGGATCTGGTGAAATAGCGAGAAGAAATTGAGACGGTTGGACAGGCAGGATAGGATTTCCCAGGAGTGCGGATCGTGGGGATGACGCTACAGGATTCCCCGGGCAAAAAGCTTCAGGATGATTGGGAGAGGATGTCCGAAGTGGGGAGCTCGGAGCTGCACTGCTGCAATTTTTTTGTTCTTCTAAGGGCTTAAAGGCTTCAAATTTGACTGGTGTCCAAGGCTGAATTTAGTGGGTAATGGCAACGAAACCACTGATAAAGCCCAATGCTGAGACGCCCTCGATCTGGACCTAGAGGAGCTGAAGCGAAGCGAAACGGTTGGCAACCCTGTATTAAGTCCAATCTGGTTGGCTCGTTAATCGGCTGTGGGAGTAAGAGACGGTTCTGACCCGGTATTTCTAACCGTTGTACGGAGAAGAACACGTCAGGTCAGGTCGCAAAATGTACAATATCAGGTAGTTTGTGATGGATATTTGTAGGTGGCCGGGGTAATAAAAATACTCTGGCGGTGAGATGCAAAATTCGGTGTAGGCTGGTTTGATAATATGGAGTCTATTGCATTGTGAGTTGTTAATGCAGCAGAATGTGTGACTACTGTAGGTCGAGTTTCACGTCCGTATCCCCGTACGGAGGGGGAACGGAGTCCGGAGGGACTGGCAAACCAAGGAATATCGATATCAGATCCACAGTATCCGAAGACGTTGCGTGACTTCCGAGGTAATAGTTGAGATGCCAATTAATGCAGAGGCATAAAACAATATAAAGCCAAAAGCAGGGTGAGGCTAGTTGGTAGCTTCAATGCAATATGAGGGGGTGCATCAATTGGTCTGTTCGAGGGATGATTTATGTGCTGCCACCTTGAAGAAACGCGCAGATGTGCCAACTTTGTATAATTCCTGATGCGCTGTCTACCCCATGCTCTTCATGCAAGCACGCAACAGAAAAAAAATGTTTCCGCCAAAAGGCGTCGTCACAATCAGATGATCATATCCTGCGCTCTGGGAAAGATGCCTTGTGGAACGACCTCTGCATCAGGTGGTTCGATGTTCATCCTAACTTTCTGGGGAAGCGAGCATCTTGCTGACCAAGGACCCTTGGAAGAACAAAAGCCGTCTCCTTGTAGTAATACTGTGCCTTCGAGTGTCGCCCAAAACGTTCACCTGCTGTATGTTTCCTCACGAAAACACGGACCAGCGGCTCTTCCCGGAGTCCTCCGAACCCACCGGCTGGATACCTGACCTTAATGCCGACCCCTCCGCCTCATTAGGAAAGATAAATGCTACCCAGCACTTGGTATGAATACCGTCGTTAGAGACTGTAGATAAAGCGATTTAAGATCAAAATAACACTTCGCCTTGAATTGTTTATTGATATATACATTCCTGAAAAGGTTGCCTTTGAGCAAAGCATTGACTTATTCTTTGTTTCCTCTCCCCCAGGCCTCCATTATGCAAGCATTTCCAACAGCCTGCCCCGAGAAGGGTGACCGGAAGAGGAGTAAAAGGGTGATAATGCCGGGTAGGAACGGAAGGGCAAACATAAGTGGCATGTATCTCTGCGATTAAGTGTCGGCAGAGATTAGCAGAGCCATGCACTAACCACTATGGAGATGGGCTTCCAAGTGTTATCTGTTCATGTGTGATATGCCGCATAGCTTTCCCCACGATGCGATGCTCACAAACCAAGAGACACTTGGATTCAGTCATGGGAATTTGTCTCAGACTTACATGAGCATGTTTAGTCAAAGAACCTGGTACCTCACTTGATGAGTGCTCTCAATGACGGACTACCCTCATCAGCAGGCGAATTGCCCTGACATTCATTTCAAGTAATC